ATACAGCCGCCGTTCCTTCTCTTCGTCCGCAACGGCAGCGTCGTCAGCCCTCCCACCTTAGTGATTACATCGTCAATTCTGTTCAATCTCACGCTCCGATGTGTTCGCCGCCTCCCCGGTCCTCTTCTTCAGGTACACATTATCCTATTGCCAACTTTGTTTGTTATCATAAATTACATGACAGGTATCGTGGTTTTCTTGGCGCCATCAGTCCGCACTTTGTTCCCAAAAATTATGCTGAGGCTGTTCCTCATGCAAACTGGCGGGCGGCTATGCAAACGGAGCTATTGGCGTTACAGAACAATCAGACTTGGGATATCACTACTTTACCACCTGATCGGACAGCTTTGGGGTGCCAATGGGTCTTTAAGACCAAATTCAACTCTGATGGCACTAAAGAACGGGACAAAGCACGACTGGTTGTCCTTGGCAACCATCAGACTTTGGGGGTTAATTACACAGATACTTTTGCTCCAGTGGCAAAAATGGGTTCGGTTCGAGTTTTGCTCTCTGTTGCCGCGGCACGAGGGTGGCATGTGCATCAGCTTGATGTTAACGCTTTTCTTCATGGGGATCTGATTGACGAGGTTTATATGCGTTTGCCACCTGGTTATGCACATCTTTATCCGGGAAAAGTGTGTCGTCTGCGGAAGTCTTTATATGGATTGCGTCAATCACCCCGCAATTGGTTCGGGAAACTTACCTGTGCTCTCAGGCGCTATGGCTTCCGCCAGGCTCATGCGGATCATACACTTTTTATTCATCGTTGTGGACCGGATATTTTGGTTGTTCTAGTCTATGTTGATGATATTTTGGTTGCAGGTAACAATTCCACCCTTTGTGCTTCGTTCAAAGCTTATCTGCATCGATGTTTCAATCTTAAAGATTTGGGACCCTTGTCATATTTTTTGGGTATTGAGTGTGCCCGATCTGCGACGGGTATCGTTCTCTGTCAACGCAAGTATGCTCTAGACATCCTCAATGAAGCGGGTCTCTTGGGATGTAAACCGGCTGATACTCCTATCACCCCTAATCACGGGTTGAGCCGTTCTACCAGTGCCGAGCTGCGTGACCCAGCTCAGTACCGCCGGCTTGTGGGTCGCTTGATATATCTGACAATTACCAGGCCAGATCTCTCTTACTCGGTGCATGTCTTGTCCCAGTTTATGCATGCCCCACGGCTCGATCACATGGACGCCGCCCGACGTGTTCTTCGTTATCTAAAGGGTCATCTGGGACAGGGGATTCTTCTACGCAGTGATAGTTCTCTTCAGTTATCTGCATATTGTGACTCTGATTGGGCATCTTGTCCACTTACCCGACGTTCTGTAAGTGGCTATTTTATTCTCCTCGGTGGTTCTCCGGTCTCCTGGAAAACTAAGAAGCAAACCACCGTGTCCCGGTCCTCGGCGGAGGCTGAGTATCGCTCCATGGCTAATGCGTGTGCAGAAATTCGTTGGATTCGGGGTCTTCTTGGGGCACTTGGCGTGACCCCTCCTACGACGCCACGCTTGTTTTGTGACAACAAATCTGCTTTATTTATTGCTGCTAATCCTGTTTTCC